GTAGCTACTGCAATCATACTGCAAATATGCCTCAAATCTGCTTCACATTAGGAGCTAATTAGCATATTTGAAACATGCTTCTATCATGCTGCTAGTCTACTGCATTAATGCTCCTCCTGTGTACAACCCTATGTAATTTTTGAAGTAGAATTGCAGTAGGGTATACTGCATTTCTACTGCAAATATGCTCCACACCACTACTAGACTGCGTTAATGCTTCTTTGCTACTTCGATACTACATGTACTGCATTTTCGTGCGTGCAATATCTTTGATGTTGTACATGTACAAAGCTCCTGTCCCCGGTTTCACACACACACACACACACACACACAAAAAAAAAAAAAAAAAAAAAAAAAAAAAACCCCTGAACGTGACTAAGTACTTAATAACCAAGGTTACATGGTTACATGGGCACATCTTGTCCTAATAACAGGAACAGTTGTATAATCTATGTATATTATATACGTTTAAACGCCATATTTGTAGAACATTAGCTTGATTAAGGTAACATTACTTACACATTTTTCCTAAATCACCAGAGGACAATGGGTTGTTCACCGTGGACATCGCGGGATTTGGCGAGAAAGTCGTATACTGTGATGGTGGTTGGGTCGTTGTTATGAGGAGATATGACAACTCGTTTGATTTTAACCGAACCTGGGCCTCGTACAGGGACGGCTTTGGTGACCCAAATGGCCAGTTTTGGATCGGAAACGATGCTCTCTACGCGTTGACCAATCAAGGGAATTACTCCATGCAGATTGACATGAAATCTTGCAATGGCAACTTTTACTACGTGAAGTGGAGATTGTTCCGTATTAACAACGAGGCTGCGAATTACACCATAACTGATATTATTGTTGACTCTTACAATACTTCGACGAATTACTGGTTGGAGGAGGTTTTAGAATGGAGATTTGGAACCATTGATAATCCAGTTTGGAGGTATTCAACTGGTTCTCCAGCTGTTAATTGCCCCCATGATCACGGTACGTCGCCGACTGGTGGATCCAGGATTTTGCTTTTTGAATCATAATTTGTCTCATGTTAAGTACATTGTGGTTATTATTATTTTTTGTTATTGTTATCAAATTATATGACCTTTTTTTATTGTTTTGATAGTTTTGAACATAAGCTTTCTTATATATATATTTTTTTAAGTTTTTACTCTTTATTTTTAACTTAACCCATGAGGAGATTGGGGGAATATATTTAAACTTACCATGTTTATACCCTCAATAAATATCAATGATAATGAATAGATAAATAATTAGTGGTTTGACTCTCTATCCCCCCTTTTCCCAGATTCATCATCCATCTACATTTACGTTTAAATACCACTTAAATTACTTGAGGAATACGATACGAATGTACAGAAAATAAGACTGAGGCAGATTAAAAATATGTTTAATATATTCATCTTTTGTAAGTGACACTTTTTATTCGGATAACACAACAGTGCACCATCAGTACGTCAGAGATGATCAAACTAAAACCAATTTAGCAGAAAATACATGTAAATAAATAAATTAATAAAAAAAATAAATATTAAGCGTGAACTGAAATTAGCGATTTTTCTCTTTCAGGTGGCGGGTGGTGGTTTAAAAATTGCACTCGCTGGCACCTCACCGGATATATGTCTTGCAATCCAACTGCTAAAGGAATGAAGTTCTCTGCTATAACTGGAGTGAACTGCAACCTTGGCTGTAGGCTCGAGGCCGGTACCATGAAGATTAGGCGAAACACTTAAATTACCAACATATAAACTATATGGCAATTTGTATGGTCTCCACATTTATAGGCATGTGAATAGAGCTTTACACCCTCGTAATTGAGGGTGAACAATAGCCGAATTTTTTTAGGTTTTTCAATTGGTATTTTATTGAAAGGTGGTTATGTGAAAGGGATAACAACTGTTCATTTTGGCCAAAAAATTAACTTTCCTGGGGAAACAACAATTTTCCCATACTTACCAATGGTTAATGAATCAATATCTACATTCAAATGTAGTCTCTGTTTCTTTTTTCTTAGAAAGTTTCTTTTTTGTAATACTCTCTTATGGTGTATGGAACATACAGCGAAAAAGACGAGCAAATATATACTTATATGGTAGATGCAGGCGTGGAGCCAGGATTATTAAAAGAGGGTTAGGATTTTAGGAATGACAGACTGTGGATGTGAAGCCGACCCCCCCCCTCTTGCCGAGGGGTTCGGGGCCCGCTAAAGGGTCCCGAAAAAATTAAGTTTTTTAGAGGGCAAACGGTGCCGTTTAATACGGTTTAAAACTATGATTCAGCTAGTCAAAATTCCATTTTCTAGAGGGAAACATTGAGTGCGATTTTTTTTCTGAAATGGAAGGGGGGGAGTCAGGACCCCCCTGACCCCTCCCCCCTCTAAATCCACCACTGATATGCTATTCTAACAGAAGTATTTTTCCCCAGAGGTAATTCATTTCAAACACTGTTTTGGATTTTATTCAGGTTGTAGGGCATTTTGTTCATGATGGCATTTGGTCTAGATATAAAGGCCAGCCAATTGGCATCAGTAGTGGTTTTACTCAAAGAAGTATACGTAAACGATATAGTGCAACGATACCGTAGTGATGATAAGATGTCAGAACAGAATTAATTTATAAGCCTAAAGGAACTTGGTATGACAGATTTATTTTGCAAAGTGTAGTAGTAACCATTCTCATTTTTATAAAATTTGAAGTTTTTGTAACTACAGACAACATCTATCAAAACATTGGCATGGTATGGCAGTAACAAACATCATAATAAAGAAAATCGTCATTTTGGAACTTTTTTCCCATTTCAAGTTTTTACAGCTTTAAAAACTCAAAAAAATATTTAAAAGCGAATATTGTGCATTTTTGGGCATTGAACATGCTAATGCTTTTTTTCCTCTATTAAGTTCAAACCATTTGAACACAATGCAGGTTGATTTTGATCCAATTTGAATTTGACGTTACTTGCTACACGGGTCTGTTTACATAGTGCATTGATCTTTGAAAGCGAACTTTTGATATAAGAGGGCGTGTGTACTATCACAACATTTTAATGACTTTATGATTGAGTTTTTCTTCATTGTTACTCTGGTAATTTCAGAAACTGTTTTATGAGACATCATTATTATTAAGAGTGTTCGCAATTATCGGAATTATCAAAATACTTATTACTTTAATTAAGTCTTGACAAATATTAGTAACTTTCTTAATCACTATGTACTATTTTATCAATTATAAAACATGATAATGTACGTTTTTATATTATCTATTACATGTGACTTACTGGTAATAATTATATATTGTGTTTACCATGGTCATTATTATTATTGGCATGTTGTATTTTATCTAGTGCTCAGTGTTCAATGTTATGATTAATAACGTTTGTAATCAACGTTTTTAAACAATTACGATTGCGTAAATGTGCATCTCATTACTATTTTCATCTGATTTGATTTTGCAGATTCAGACGAACTTACGAATCACATTTGCATTGTAGACTGCACTGTGGCCTGGTCTTTTAAGCTGTTTGAAAATTTACGATGTATGCAACGGTGGGATGCAACAAGAAAAAGGAAAATTCCTTGTAATCAAGCAAAGACAATGGATAGAAAACAAGTGAATGCGTAATAAGTAGGGAGAAATAAAGTATAAATACTTGTGAAATTGTATGAACGTATTCCTTAGTATGTTATTTCAGTGCAGATGACCACTCGGCTGTTCCTGTTTCCTATAGCTCTTTTCTCCGAACATCTGGACTGTGCTCTTTTTCTTTCAAACATCTCAACCCCCACAGGGGCTGATCCGGGATTATTTGAAGTGTGTGTGGTGTGTGGAGGGGGTGGGGTGGGGGGCGGGGAGGCTTTTTTAAGTATGGCAGACCTCGGTACGGGGGCCGCTGTTTTTTTTTCTTGGGGGGAGAGGCGGTGGGCAGCAAACGGTGCCATTTGGTACAGTTTTGAACTGTGATTCAGCTAGTCAAAATTCAGGCCAGCCCCCCCCCCCCCTTTCCACTGCCCTCCCCCTAAATCCCATATTATTGTATGTTTGATGGATAAACAGGAGTTTGGTCATGAAGGCCCAGGGCAAGCCAAGCTAAAAAAAAAACATTTTCTGTCAACTTTAAAATCCAATTTACCAGAAACTTGAGCGCAGTATTGAATTCCTATGTCTGACACTGGCCGAATGGATGGGGACTGATTAAGTGCTATCAAAAAACATTGTCCTTAATATTGATCCCAGTAAATGAATGGGTAAATGAAATGGCAGGATACCCAAGGTGGAAAATCAATCCCCACTAAGATATCTCAACCGTATAATGTGTACTAATTGATTAGTTCTGCACCGTTAAATATGTATTCTTTGGTTTTAAAAACAAAACTGGAGCAGCTAGTGTCGTCCAATCTTTTTATTTTTATTTTGGACATTTAAAGAGACAGTGTAAGTATTAATGCTTAGTTTTTAAAAGTCTATCTAAATGTACAAGTATGCATAAATCCTCAGAGAAAGGTACTGACCTCTGTCAAAAGCTCACACAAGGTGGACATAATACGACCGTCTAGTTAGATCGATCTACCGGAACATGCAGGTATGGGAACCCGTTCTTAGTTCCTGTTCATTAGGCTTAAGACCAGCGAATATAAGTGTCATAAAACACAAAATAAAAGAGTACATTTCACTTTATATCTCAAGTGAACTAGAGTGAAGAGCAGCTAGTACTGGAGGGCTTTTCTTGATGCCTGACAAAATTTATCTTTTTGTTTCTTTTTTTTTTTATTGACACTGATCCGTGCACTGTCACTTTAAAGGGAGGTAATAAAAGAAGGAAGCCGAACTCTCAGTCAATACGCTAAGCTCGTTAAGAAAATGGTCCGGAGCAGCTTGAATCTTCGCTTCGTTTTCCTCTTGACAATCTTCAGGACGCCATGGGCAGACGCCCAGATAACCGAGCAGATCTTCAATTTCACGGCGAACTCTTACCTCCCACATTCCGTAATGAAGACGGTTGCAGCACGGAGTCCGTTGGAGTGCGTGACGCTCTGTAAAACCACCCCGGGATGCCTTTCTTGTAATTTTTACGCCAGCAATACGTCAGGTATGGTGCAAAATTGTCTTTTCTTATTCTTCTTAATGCCCGTAACTGATTATCATAAGTACCACATGTGTTGATATCGGGACTGAAAAAAAAAAAAAGATCGAAGGTAGAAGAAACAAATTGCTGACCAAAAAATCTCTTTAAGCCGATTTGTTGTGATCTCTAACATACAAAATCTCATTATTTTATCTATAAAAATACTTATTTGTGATCATCCATTTATTCATTAGGCCTAATGAGTAGTTATCGGTTATTTAATTGTCTTTGCAAAGGTCTTAGCCCTCTGAGTGCTTTGATATTATTTTACTGTTATAGCCTCCTTAATCATAAGGAAAGTAGCTCAAAATTGAGAAACTTGACCCCAAAGACCGGATTTGATATACAGTAAATTCTACTTGGGGTGTGCTAAACGTTGGTGATTAAAGAAACTTGTTTAAAATTCTATAAAAATATTATTTATTGACATTGCTATAAACAGGCCTTACAAGATCTTTTTTTATCTTTTTACAGATAACTGCGATCTAAATTTCCGTTCCATGTCAAGCAGCATCAACTTGCAACTTCAAGTGATGGAAAACGCCACGTTCTATAGCGTTAGTAACATGATTTCAGTTTAGTACAGTTATTAACGTGGGGGTGGGGGTGGGGGTGGGGTTGGGGTGGGTGGGGTTGGGTGGGGTGGGGTGGGGTAGCGGTTAGCTCTGGCTAGGTCCAAACTTGGGTATAATTGACCGTCGCTGTAGGTAATCCCAATGTCTATAACCGCTTTGTTTTTACGGTCATACATTTTTAAGGTAATTGTTAAGGGAAAAACGATTAAATTAAGGAACATTACGTCTTTTACACCCTTATTCAACAAGTATATATCAACAGATAAATGAATGAGTGTGCAGGCGGAGGGGGGGGAGAGGACCATCAAGGGATTAGCGGTATAACTTTTACGTGAGTCGGCCATATTTAGTCTGCGGATCTGTTAGTCTTCGGATCAAATTGTTCTGAATGCGCTCTTAAATTGTCTGTCCCTCGAAGACTGGTCCAGTTGAGTAGTCCGTATGATGTGAAAAGGGCCTTCTTCGATTGTTCCTAGCTTCTTCCTTGAAAGATAATGATATTTCATAATATATTCTCCCAGGGGGAAGTAAATTATATGCTATGTTTTTAATTTTATTACAGATATATAATCCTCGTGACTGTAACGATGTAGGTAAGTGCGTTTTATCTTATTGTTTTGGACCTATAATGATTTATTTGTGAATGAAAAGTAATTGATGCATATATAAAAAGTTAATGAGCTGTAGAAATATCAAGATTGCTCTTATTTCCATGTTAATATCCATATTTCTTTAATTTGAGGTTCTCACATTTTCTGCTCTTTAATGTGCCGAAATGAGAATATTCCAGTTAATTTAAGTAGGATTAGTGACAAGAGGAAACTACAAGATGCACATAAATGAAGTAAACTGATAACTTAACCCGCACGAAAATGCAGAAGTATCGAAGTAGCAAAAAAGCATTAACGCAGTAGTGGTGTGGAGCATATTTGCAGTAGAAATGCAGTATAGCCTACTGCAATTCTACTTCAAAAATTACATAGGGTTGTACAGAGGAGGAGCATTAATGCAGTAGATTAGCAGCATGATAGAAGCATGTTTCAAATATGCTAATTAGCTCCCAATGCGAAGCAGATTTGAGGCATATTTGCAGTATGATTGCAGTAGTCTACTGCGCTGGAGCATCTACTGCGTTTTCGTGTGGGAATACTTACATGTACAACCTGCATTTCTTGGTGAGACCAAAAATTTCTAAACGAAATGTAACTCGTTTATTTAAAGATGGACTGATCATGGAACAATTTATCTTTTAAAAAATAATTCCTTTGTGCTGTGCTCTATTGCCATAGTTGTGGTGCATTTGCTCTTACAAATCATTTTGTACATGCATTTTTATTTCTTAATTTATCAGAAGTCAATGGGCTGTTCACCGTGGATATCGCGGGATTTGGCGAGAAAGTCGTATACTGTGATAATGGCTGGGTCGTTGTTATGAGGAGGTACGACAACTCGTTTGATTTTCACCGAAACTGGGCCTCGTACAGGGACGGCTTTGGTGACCCAAATGACCAGTTTTGGCTGGGAAACGATGCTCTCCACGCATTGACCAATCAAGGAGATTACTCCATGCAGATTGACATGAAATCCTGCAATGGCAATTATTACTTCGTCAAGTGGAGTTTGTTCCGCATTAACAACGAGGCTGCAAATTACGTCATAACCGACATTATTGTTGACTCCTACAACACTTCGACGAAATACCGTTTGGCTGAGGTTCTAGGTTGGAGATTTGGAACGACTGATAATCCAGTAGGCTCTTGTCCTCAAAATCACGGTACGTTTACCTGGGAACGGATTCATCAACTATTGGTAATTATACTATTAAACGTGAATGTGCCCTAACCCAGAAAAATTCATTTTTGGTTAAAATAAACAGTTGTTATCCCTTAAAATCCCCTTTTTGTGTTTTTTAAATAGCGTGCTACACAGTACCTCGTCCTATTTTGAGTCACAAAATACCGCAGTTTCACACTCTTTCTAACATGATGAACTATTTTTCGAAATGAGATCGCACAACCCACTAGATAGATGGTCAAGGAATAACAACGTCAGCTTTTTCTCTGCGGGAAAGAGGCAAGAAAGCACTTTTAAAACTCCCTCATTTCCAGAGAATAAGGCAACAGCAGACGGGTCCGTGGGCCTAGGTGTACTCATAATTTTGATCGATTTGACCGAAGTTTAGGAGGAAATAAGAGGTTGTTACATGTATCGCACAAAATATCACCAGACCATATCGGCAGTTGAGCCTAAAAATAAAACTCCTGAACGTCCCCTTAAATCCGCTCTCTTCTCATTGCAGGCGGCGGATGGTGGTTCGAGAGTTGCACTCGCTGGCAGCTGACTGGATACTATCCGGTGGGATGCTCTGGGACAGCTGGGATGAAGATGGCCGCTATAACCGGAAACAACTGCGACAACGGGTGCATAATTCAATCTGGTACCATGAAGATCAGGCGAAACACTTAGATAAAAAAAAATCAAAATCAAAATGCAATTTAATGTTGTTTCCACATATAATAAGTACTTGTTGAGAATTCATTTGTGTCCAATGCTGTGAGTGTGTTTCCAGTTTATATCACGTACAATAGGATACTAATCATTCATTTTAGAGAAAAATAATTTTGACTCTTTAGTTCACGCATGTTATTATTTCAAAGAATCAAATACGTTTTATTTTCAATTTTTCACAGTGCTGGTGTCATACTTCCGCTACATAAGTTAAAATTGCCTGTACAGTTGAGTCACATAGATAAAAATGCATCTGTATGGTTAAATTATCCAAAACGTTTTCGATGACGCAAAATAAGAGTTAAATTATTTAGCCGATTTTAATGACAAATGTTCTTGGGTTTTTCTTTGAACCAATTTGGCTGACATGAGAAAACCAAGGAATTTCAAACTGGGTCAACTTCAATATTTTTCCCGTAAGACCATTTGTGAAATGTTTAATTGAACGTATATAATTCGGAACGACATTATTTTAATCATGTCTGACATTAATTTTTGGTCAGTTCCGGTACAGAAGTCAGATAGTGAATTTTTTAGATTAGAAGAAGTGTATTTTATTATTGTGTCAATGGTATACCCCGGCCAAATGGACCTTCTTGCCACCATAAGGTGTCATGTTTCTCATAGCCTACATGCATCAGCGCCAACAATTTATGATCAAATGAAAATGATAAGTACAGATAAGCAATCAATTGAATAGATAGTGATAAGTACGTTATTGATTTGTTTCTCTTTGCAGTTGGAAGGTACCTTGTTTGACGACGTCCCAAAGTGATATTTTCTGTCTACACATCCTGCAAATATTCTTACCGTTCCCACTCCATACCTAAAAAAAGATTAAATCCCTCAAATAAAAGTACCTGAAGCTGATGTCGATGCTTTGTTTTGAAATACACCATTGGTCAAAAAGGTTGTCCCCCCTCCAATTCCATGTGCTTTTCTATACAAATGATCCCTAGCCTACCTGCGTGCAGGAAATACTTACAGGACGCAGTAGACACACACTCTAGTAGATGCGAGCACATCCTAATTTTAGATTTGAGGGGTTACATGTTATAAATGTGAATAAATGATGTATGACCCGATTTCTTCGCCGCAACTTTATATTTTCTGAACCATTGTATTTTCTGTACATTGCTTATGTAACAATTTACACCTGCAAGTAGATCATCGGTAAATGAAGCACGTGAACCGGGGGTTAGGCAACTTTTTTTGACTATACAGAACGGAATAGCGGTCTATATGGCTATCTAGTCTTTCAAAACTAAATTACAGAGATAGACATGGTACATGTACATTGTATAAAACAACGAATCCAAGTACAGCGGGTGGGCGGAACAATGGTTTGTTTACAGGAGAATTTTGTTATTGATGAGAATTCTTGTGGGGAAAAAACCTGGATAGGATATCTGTAACTGGATAGGATATCTGTATCTGCAATAGTTGTCGCCTCGCGGGTGAGCAATGTATTGATTCCAGTGCTACAGATTGGATAACATCGTGGCTCAAGGCTAGTGATGTGGGGGAAAAGTGTAAGTGAGGTAACGCAAAATATGGGTTTTAACGGTGAATTGAGGGATAAATATAAAAAACAACAACATTTTTTAAAAAATTAACTCAGTTAATTGTTTAATTCGTGTTTCGATAAATTAATTTAATTTAAAATGAAATCACTTATTGGGGATGGGGTATGGAATCTGAATTAAAGTGAAATAAATGTATATTTTAATGAAACCCACACCTCTCCTTACACCCCCATTTGTGCCTGTTAATCAAAAAGTTCGTTAGCAGATTCATTTTAATGCGGACAGGAGCACAGGCGCTGCCTTAGAGCCGTTGTGTGTCGTGGAGCGCCGAAAGATTGCGATTGTCGCACCTACCACACCGCGCTGCAATTCGTATTATTTCGTCTTTTTCCGTCGCACACTTGGACAATGCTCGCTCGATCTATCAAGATAGCAATGATTGAGGTATTGATGTAGCAAACAACTAATTTCCGTTCTTTCTACTTTTTGTTTAGGATACACCTATTGGCAAGATTGATTGCCGGTGTCTGGCTGATTTGGCCCTTTTGCAGTTTATTTTCTTATTCTTTTATCATTTTACGGCACCTTTTCTGCATTCATACAAGCATCGATTTTTTTTATTGGTATTAATTAAGCGCTAGAAACCAAACGGCATTAGTGTTTTCTGCAGGTGCACGAGATTGTTTTTGGCGGGAAAAGGTGGGAGGTGGAGTTTTTGTTTTATTATAACTATAGAACAGTGCTAACATGCTCGTAACAACAAATCGAAATGTGTATATATACATGTATATATACAGTCATCGAATACGTAGCGTTTAACTATTGCTGGATTTTACTCAGAGCCAAATCAATGTGTGTTGCAGATTTTTTTAGCAAGGGGAAAAATCTTTCATGGAAACAATTTCCCTTGCTTAGAAATGTTGAGAAAATTTCAAACTCAGATTCTAATTTGAATGAAATTTGTTCGTCTCTTTCCCTGTAGAGAGATTGACTCCAAAACAAGAAAGTTACTAGTCAAATATTGGTTTCTACATTTACATTACTATATTCTAACGGGTTGGATGACCAAAGGGAATGTTTGTCCATTATCAGGAAAATGCATGTTTTGCTTTATAAAGGTTTTATTCTCATTGTCTTTATTTAAGCTTTAATAATATAGTTCGGTCCAACAGCGTTAAACTTAAATTCCCAAGGCCACATTCTCGTACTTTGCACAATGTAGGCCAAGGGCCGCATTTTCGAGGCCAAACGGGAGTCTGATTATACAGGGTTCGGGCAAGCAACTTAATTCTATACCTTCTGTCAACTTTTTATTCCAGAAACTTGAGCGCTGTATTGAATTCCGGTCTAACACTGCACGGATGCTTGTGACTGATGAAGCGCTAGTAAAAACATTGTTGTCAATATTGATCAAGCCGCGTGGATAAATAAAATAGTGGAACACGGAAGGTAAAAAAATCAATCGCCACTGAAACTGTCTCAACCGAATAATGTGTGCGAATCGATTCCTTCTTTGCCGTTAAATGTGTATCCTTTGGTCCCATAAACAAAGTTGGAACAGTGTCGAGCTTCCTTTTTTGACACGTTCGCTTAAAGAGACAGTGCAAATACTTCGGTCTTAGGTCTTCATATGTTTGTCCAAACGGCATTGAATATGCACAAGTACGCATAAACCCCCAAAGTACTAACATTTGACGAAAGAAGACACAAGGTAAAACTAATAGTACCGTAAGGAACTTTTAATTTGACTCAAGCCCGCCGAATATTAGTGGCGTGCCCGCGTTGTCACTTTAAAGGGAGGTCATAGAAGAGGGAAGCGGAACTCATAGTCAATACGCTAAGCTGGTTAAGAAAATGGTCCGGAGCAGCTTGAATCTTCGCTTCGTTTTCCTCTTGATATTAGCACCGACAATCTTCAGGACGCCATGGATAGACGCACAGATAACCGAACAGATCTTCAATACCACGGCGAACGCTTACCTCCCACATTCCGTAATGAAGACGGTCCCAGCACGGAGTCCGTTGGAGTGTGTTACGCTCTGTAAAACCACCCCGGGATGCCTTTCTTGTAATTTCTACGCCAGCAATACGTCAGGTAAAGCATTATGCCTATTCTTACTGTTCTTTTAATGCCCGCATCTGACTTTCATAAAGCAAGAAAAAAGAAAAAAAAATGAGATGATGGAAAAATTATGTCATCCATCATAAATGTATATTCATACAGTATGTCCAGATGCATTGGATTTCAAGAGTGTAAGTTTTTTAACCTCCAGAACTCACGTCCTATAAACATAGATTGTGGTAGCACCAAAGTACGAAACAGTTTTGAATAATCAGCTTTTTAACTTTTTAATCTAATTTTTTTCAAAAAAGATTTTGCACCTACTTCTATTTATAACATAAAATAATTCTTTTCATTTTTTTTTCAATGCAGGAATTTAAGGTGCAAAATATTGGAGAATTAGGACTTTCAAACTATTTTTAATTGTATTTTGAAATTATTTAAACCTTGATGATACTCTGCGTGCATAATCCTATTACTTTATTTCAAGAGCAAAGCAAAAAAAAAAAAATAATAATAAAAAAAATAATAATAATAATAACACAAATCTGGTAAAACGTTAGTATGATATGCAAGTTTTTACAGCATTCCAGTTTGCATTTTGGTTTTGATATTTTAACATTAGGAAATCATACTAATGCACAGATAGTACTGGTAATATGTTCGGAAAAGGTAATGTCAATCATTCAAAATAGCAATAATTAATATTATATGATCCATAACGGGCAATCTATATTAACAATTTGGTATTTTTCACGTCTGCAAGCATGAATATCGTCTTCTGACGTACTTATTATCTGCTTCTTTTACAGTTTGTAAATTGATATTGTCGTTTTAAATATAATTCAATTCAATTCAATTTATTTCTGTACTGGTACATAGATATAATGCATGTTCTTCAAGGACTTGCCTGTTGTTCTATTATTACACATGGGATAGGGAAACCCTATTCTTTTGTAATTTCTAACTTAAGATTTCACACTAAGCCCATGTGTCATTCAAGTATAGAGTACACATTAAATCTAACTCAAAATTTTAATTTTGAAATCCCTTCTCGAATGTTTAGACATATTACCTTGCTATCAAGTGAGAGCGAACAAATACATGGATTACCATGTAGAATCCTAGTCAGCAAACCATATTGAACCGTAATAATAAATGAACCCAAAAACCAACTGATGGTAAATATATTAACTGTTTATAGTTTGGTAAATTTCCAGGAAGACTATTATTATTATTATTATCAGTAGTAGTAGTAGTAGTATTATTATGTAAATTTCATTGATATAAAAATACCAAACGCGCAATGTACGCCTTTAAAAGTACTGACTTCATTCAACAGGATGTTATTTTGATCTTTTTACAGATAACTGCGATCTTAATTTCCGGTCCACGTCAAGCAGCATCAACTTGCATCTTCAAGTGATGGAAAACTCCACGTTCTATAGTGTTAGTATAAATGAGTACAATTATGTACATATATTGACTTGCGGTAGGGGGAAGGTCACCTGGTAACTAGGTTCAAACAGAGACTAGGGTTTAATTGGTCGATTCTATTAGTGAGCAAATCCAAATACAGGCCTTATAATCGGATTAGGTGTTTACTAACACTACCTGCATATATTTAGCACTAACATCCATATTAACCAAATAACCCACAAATTAACTAGAAATACCAGAGTGGAAAATGTTAGTTCTAGGTATAGCTTTCTTGGTGCTAAATAATTCTACAGTGTGTTGGTTAATTCGTTGGTTTTGTGGTTAATGTGGGTGTTAGTTATGAAAGATCGGCGGGTAGTGTTAGTAAACGCCTAATCCGTTTATAAGGCCTGAAATATCAATAGTAGTAACTGTTTTGTTACATGACCAAGAAATTATAAGGGGATTGTTCGATGAAAAAAGTATAAACTTAAAACACGTTGATCCCAAAAATTAATGTGAAAATCACCATCGTTATTTTAATGACGTGTGTATGTGCCGTTATACATGTATATCCCCTGTTAAGGTATGTATACAGCTGTACCATGAGTGTAAAAATATCTGCCAATCCTTTAATGCAGACCCGCTTTGGAGCATAAAATCCATCCCAATTACCTTTTTATCCAAAAAGATCAATCGATGCCCCCTTATATGTGACATTAACCTTTTATCAGGGCAATCGATTATATTTTAACGCGTGTGACTATGTGCATGGACATACAACAAAACATGCACCAAAAATATCAAGCTCTATTAATTCATTTTATTATATTTTTTAGGACGACACTCGTGAGATTTGAACGGCTGATAAAATCAATGAATGATAAAAAATACAGTGGCTCAAACTGACGGAAAGACTCCCAAACAACAACCACCAATAAAACATGGGTTTCTTTACCTTTATGAACATTTCCGATGGGAGTTCTACAGGAATCCTTGAGGGATTCTAGATTCAGACGTCCTATAGGGTTTCTATTTAGGACACCACTGGATGNGTCCTATAAGACACTATAGGATGTTGGCCAATTTCCTGTAGGACATCCTATTCTGGTGGGGCCCTGTAGGAAGCTTATGGGTGATTGTCAAGGCCATTTTGCTGCTCGATGCATTCTTTGTTAATACGTGAATGATTGTTCAGTAGTGCAATTGGTATTTTTTTTCCTGCGGGTTGTTTTTATTAAAATTTATTATTGGTGGCAAGCCATTGAATTCACATCTGTTGATCAACGTCGACGGATAGCATATGTTAGTTTATAATTAAAATCGATCCTATTCTATTTATTCATTCCGGATTTGACCGTACGGAAAGGGTGGGGTCTATCATCAACATCATCATCATCATCATTATTATCATCATTATTATTATTATTATTATTATTATTACGAATGCGTTTTAATGATCAAAATTAATGGAACTTGCATGTAAACTTGATGCCTTATACATTGAGAACTATATTAAATCAATCGATCCACTTTGAGAGGTCCGAAAATGTGCTCCAAGGGAGGGGGGTCTCACTGCTAGTTTTCCACAAGTTTGCTTTGTCTCGTCTAGGTTTTTACTTGCCAGTCTCTGGAAGCTAAGATCTAATAAACGGATATTAGAACTAAGCTAGAAGTTGACGGGTCCAGTTGAGTAGTCCGTCTGTAATGGGTCTTACATCGATTGGTCTCCACTACTTCCGTCTTTAATAAAGATATTTTAAGATTTATTGTCTTCGGGGAAAGGAACAAATTATATGTAAACATTTTCTTTATTCTATTGCAGTTATATGACCCTCGTGACTGCAATGACATAGGTAAGTGCGTTTCATTATATTGTTTTGGGTCTAATGGGTTTATTTGTGAAATAACTAATACAATAATTATGAAGAGATTAAACAAACCAGCGGCAAACATACTTAAAAAACACCGGCACTTTTTATTTATCTATTTTTTTTAGGGGTGGGGGCCCTTTAATTATGTTCTTCGCCGTTTCACTCGCTTATTTGCAGAAATGAAATTGTTCAAATTTTTGTTTTGAGGTTTAGACACAAAGCGAAAAGATGGCCTTGCAAGTTGCTCTCGGTTTGTCGCCATAATTGTATAAATACATATGAAATGCGTTTCTTGGTGAGACCATTAATTAACTTTTTAATAATAATTCTATTTCATATTCTGCATAATCGCCATATAAGGTTGTATGTGGCGCATTTACTCTCAAAATCACGTTTGACACATTTTTTCTTAATTCATCAGAAGTCAACGGGCTGTATACCGTGGATATCGCAGGATTTGGCAAGAAAGTCGTATACTGTGACAACGGATGGCTCGTTGTTATTAGGAGATATGACAACTCGTTTGATTTTCACCGAAACTGGGCCTCGTACAGGGACGGCTTCGGTGACCCAAATGACCAGTTTTGGCTGGGAAACGATGCTCTCCACGCGTTGACCAATCAGGGGAATTACTCCATGCAGTTTGACGTGAAGTCCTGTAATGGAAACTATTACTTCGTCAAATGGAGATTGTTCCGCATTAACAACGAGGCTGCAAATTACGCCATTACCGACATTATTGTTGATTCGTACAATACTTCGACGAATTACCGTTTGGGGGAAACCCTAGGATGGAGATTTGGAACGACTGATAATCCAGTAGACTCTTGTCCTCAAAATCACGGTACGTTCTTTATCGACCGGGCGAAAGGGAAAGGGGGCGGTGTCGGAGGGATCAAGGGAGAATAAAGATAAAAATCAAATAGGCGCATGTAGGAAATAGGAAAATCTTACGATGCTTTGTAGGATCCATGGATGGGAATGTTTCTTGTATTTTTTCATGATTTGCACGTTGTAATGTTATGTTTCTAAGGCGTGAGAAACTTCACTTCTCCAGTATTTGCATTAGATTTCCTGCCATTTTGAGATGTTATAATTTTATTGATAGCATGTTACACGTTGAATCGTACCATTTAAAGTAAGACGAGGCTGCGATTTTCATGAAATGCTCCGTTTTAGTCATACATGTATCTTCAACAAGGAAATATTATTATTGCTCTTCCAATTTTTTTAATAGACAGAAATCACGCAATGGTATTTTATCACAGAATAGTTTACACGACATCTTGGAAAGTTAAGACATATGCACTTTACAAAATTAATAAATAAATGTAAATGAAAGCAATAAATAAATAAATAAAAAGAAAACAATGTGGACTGAAAACAAATCTCTTTCCATTTCAGGCGGCGGGTGGTGGTTCGAGAGTTGCACCCGCTGGCACTTGACCGGATTTTATCCTGTGTCCTGTAGCACTGGCGCCACTGGGATGAAGCTCGCCGCCATAACTGGAAACAACTGCGACAACGGGTGCATGCTTAAGGCCGGCACCATGAAGATCAGGCGTAACCCTTAAGTTATTTATACATTAACGTAACACGCAAGGCTAATGCCCTTCACGTAGGCTCCATTCAGAATAGGGGACTAACTAGTCTGATGGTCAAATATGGCCGACCCACTTGGATACTTCCCCACGGGATGTCTATTCAGTGTGTATTAGCGGATTAGACGACATGCTTTGTCGTGAGTTGCCATATTTGACCTCCCGACTGGTCAGTACCCTTTTCTGAATGGGGACATAAAATCTGAAGGGATTCACCAGTCTGACGTATGGAAAATAACAATGAGGAATCGAGACAGTTAAATATTTATTCGTAAATCCAAAACAGGCCAAGGTGACACATTGCCGCCACCGCCCCCCTCCCCTGCTCCTACAAATATACTAGTATTGGAAGTGACCCCGTCTGTCCGTGCCATATTATATTTACATGTTATATATACATATTAATTGTATTATAGAAAAATGCCCTTGTGTACTATAACATATACCTAGCAAAGTAAGGTTAGATTGCTTTAACCTCGTACCCCTACCCCTATGAAAAATTATGAATCCGCCGCTGCCTCAGCTTAAGTTTTGCTGATGCTCAATATACATGCTACGCGTACATATAAATATTTGTATAATTGCTGCTAAGCTTGTTTTTTCCTATGTTACGTTGAACGAAGCCAGTGAATTACATATTGTGAAATTATGGCGAAAATAAAGAATTGATCACTCATGTTTCCTCATGCGTACTTTGCAGATTGCTTTGACACTCAAAGTCAAATTGCCAAATGCATGCTGAACAGTTAAGTACATGCACTTAAGTAGTCCCGATGGAAACTATTTCAGTTCGGTGTAAGTCGATACAAACTGAGAAACGAATGAGAAAAAAGTGCAAGCATCTTATCCGGGGTTCTCTGGCAAAATCAGGTTTTCCACGAAAAATCTAGATACTTTCCACTACTCAGGAATCATTTATCAGCCGATCTCAGCTCTCGAATGCGATATTTTACACCATTTCTACTTTAATTTCACAAGTATAATTTGGTTGTGGATCGGCTCTGGTCAATCAGGAGGACCGCCGTGTCTTCCGGGACATTTCAGATGGAAATTTCGATATCGGAGATCTATTTGATGTGTTTAAAGTTCTGGATTGGTAAATACATTTATAAACAACCTTTCGAAAAAAGTGGAACATAAAAATTGTGACTTCGGGCCATTTAAACGCAAGCAGTTTATCTTTATTATACTAACCATAGACTCAGAATCACTTATGCATGTATATGCTACTAGTATGGCCATGCATCCGAGCTTAATATGAATTCAAATGTTCATTTCATATTTACTCTTTTCCATTTGGGATGACTTAGAGGTCCAAATCATCGCACACCGTTCCTGAGCCCCTGTGACCACGGAAGCTAAAAGGGCTTAAAATAGGAGTATTGATTAGGAGTTTAGCGATTTTTCAGGTTTTGAATTGTTCCAGATTTGAAGGCGACCGGTTTGAAAGAAACTTTTTGACATTGGGTGCTTTGTGCCGTTGTTTTGGAAAAAATATGCGGGTTCATTATTAATGGAATAGTTATTGATTGTCGAACGAATTCGAAAAATAGAGGTATAAAATAATCGATGGCCTTTTGATCAAATAAGCGTCATCAATATACCGTGTAAGTCCTACAAAGAACGGCACTTCTATAAGCTTTAAGGCAAAAAGAGGCGATATGTTGGCATGAAATACGCCATAAACATTGACGTATATATGTGTACCAAAGGCTAAGAAAAATGCTTGAAAAGGCCGGGTGTCAGCTGCTGAAGGTCAGCAACATGTGTAAACGTGTTTATACATGTGCACGGAAGGCGGGTCATTGAACCGTCTGTGATAGACCCTACTCATCTAGACACCCACAGTAAAAGATATAAGATATTTTTGATGAAGTGGGAGAGTGGAAAATCCTTTATATATTTTTTCTGGAGTTAGGGTTTGCCCCCTGTCCCCAACCGCCATCCACAGCCTACGCCCGGGACACTGGCATTAAATGACCACTGACCTTAATGTAGAATGTGAACTTCACTCTTAAGTACCATTGATCGATCGATCCTTGTTTTAGTTACTTATAAGCGTGTGTGTGTTTGTGTGTGTTTGTGTGTGTGTGTGTGTGAGAGAGAGAGAGAGAGAGAGAGAGAGAGAGAGAGAGGCAGGAAGGAGTCAAAGCACAAAGGAAGAGAAAATGTGGGGTACAACATAAACTATCACAGGTTACAGAGAGAAAGAGAGAGAAATGAAAATAAATAGAAATGCACATATCAACTTAGAATTTAGACACATTTGGTAAATATGTCTGAAGATTACCCTATTTATTCGTGTGTCTAATTATTTCACATTAAATTTCAACAAAAGACTTGTTATGTAGATTATTATTATTATTATTATTATTATTATTATTATTATATCAGCAGATTAAGACTGGATGTACATGGGCTATAAGTAACCTTACCTGAATATAGCAAATACCCATGTAGAGGCGTTCTTTTTATAACTAACAAATGTTTAAAAAATAAAACATAATCTAAATTTCTAAATACACTACTTAAATAATTCAGCAAACAGTTGATTATGATAAAAGATGCAACAATTCACGTGATCATAAATATTTAATTGATCAAAACGGCTGGATCAAGAAATGATCTTACTTTTTCATGGGGAAGCCCGAGGCACGGAACTTAGCGTAGGAGATATCCGTAGAAAGAATACCCGGCTGCGCCCCTGACATATAAACTTTCAGTGAATTAACATGGCCTGATTGATGGGTTCTGGGAATAATACATTGACATTAAAATGATTATTCGAAATTCAAAAGCTCTAAAAGATACGGCGACTTGTAATGTAGAATTTACGTGTCGATGATATTTGTTCTAGTGAGGAACCGACTGATTGAACGACCGCAAACGAAGCAAACATACCATTTAAATCATTCTCATGTCACTCTTCGTTTGTTAACTACCCCTTTAAGGCTATATCAAAATTGATTTATACTATTTACACTAAAATAGATGTTAAACTTCGCTTTTCATTATTGTTAGTCACCAGGCGAACCTATTTTGGCAGGATATCCCACTCAGGGGCGGATCCAGAGATATTTTCTGACAGTCTTCTAAATTATCTTTGTTAATCCATCCTCCATTTTTGACCGTCTTCCGACAGAAAACATTAGATACCCGTCAATTTAAACTTTAAAATCTGACCGTCTTCCGGAAGACCCAGAAGACGGCCTAAATCCGCCCCTGCCACTTTCCTATTTTGACTTGCCACATTCACTTGTGTTGCTAACCGTTCCTACATGTACATGTATAAACCTTTCATCTCGTAGGGCAGCCATAAAGATCATTGTCCTTGTTCGGAGGAAGCATATGTGGAGAATACTGGCATTAATGAGGTGTATTTACCTCTTAATCTAACATTAGTATAAAGCATTAATACATTTACCAGTCAATATAAATAATTATATATATGTTGTATATATATGATTATTGCACTGTTTTAACAGAATATTAATCTCATTGACAACCGGTTGGACAACAGTTAATATGCTTTACCTCCGATTATGACACATTTGGGTAAGATCGTACTAAAATTAACGTGTATGTTCGTCACGTGCGGTTACATTGCACTAAGTAACTTAACATTGAGCCTTGGGACTACATAGCCGAATTTTTGTATAAAACACGATGTTTTTCTGTCTCGACTACTCTTAACGTGTCATCGATATTGAGAGAAACTGAGGAAATCGTAGCCATGAAATCCATCTTCGTCACAATTTTGATATTGGGTCTTGCAGCCGTTAATGTCAATGGTAAAGTATATTTTTTAATATGATAAGCTTTATGGTATGTTGAATTGAAGATATGCTTATAGAATTGTTGGTATTAAGTTTAAAGGAATACAATGTTAGAATGTGCGTTAGATCTTTGCATAGGAAGTAAAAATAAAATAATTAATTTTTAAATAATTCTCCATGACATTTCAGCAGTATTTCTTTAAACACCAATTAAAGCATGGTATATCAAAAACCTTAGACAAAGTGCCGATGTATAATCCCGTTTAAAACTCTTAATTTCGAACCCCACATTTTTTTAATTGTATTTTTTTTTTCAACTTTTTGACAAACCTCCAAGAGTAAGGGAAACGTTTCCAAGAAAATCAATTCTATTTTCTGATGGTCAAAGGCCCATTGTGTGAGAAAATATTCTGTGGAAACCCTTTAATTGTTTTAAATAAATGTTTTAATTGTTTTAATTGTAATAAATAACTGTATCTTATGTGTGTACTAGACAATTTCATGAGAGGAAAAGACAACGTCAGGAGAATGTTACAGTCTACACCTACAAGCACATGCATTTATTAGACGCTGCAATAATATTATTTTTCGAAAGTAAAATGCCATTTCAAATAACCGTACACGCGATTCCAGTATTAAACGCACACGACAACATGCATTTTCAGAATTCTCAGAGGCTAAATTATATCAACCAAATGCACAGTAGGCTTTCTTTTTAAAAACAAAGTAGATTTTTCCCCAACAATTGGCATCAATTTTGTCTGTTTCTTGCTTTTAGGAATATGTCGGATGACCCGGCGTGCAAATGCATTCTACAGCAAAGGACGCGACATTGATAGCTTCATATCAGGTTCTGAAAGAAAATGTTCCGACGCATGCGCAACTAACCGTTTGTGTGTTGCTGCCACCTATCGAACTTCTGACCGCCGGTGTTGGCGACACAGCACCTTGAGGAGAACTGGCTCAGGAAGAGGATGGGTTGCTTTGAAGAAAGACGCAAGTTGCGTCAGTAAGTAACGCGGGAAGTTTTTTTTTCTTTCTTCAATGCTTTTCTTTTCAAGAAAAATTGCCTCAATGATGTCACCCTAATATCAACTTTTCATGTTCAAAAGCTTTTAGAACTGATGGCTGGTTTGGGATGTTCTATGCTCAATTATTCAAGCAAACTCTCCAATTAAAAACCATATACAGGTATGCACTGGGTCATAGTCGAGATTCGTTACGATAATAAAACATTAGATCTTTCACAGTGTATCAATGACCAGCTCTTGTTAAACTTGAAAAAGAGAGTATTTATTTTATTTTCACCATCAATATGACTTTTCCATAGCTCCCACACAGACCCAACCTAAATTTTTACCTGTTACAGTATAACAAATGTCTGCTTGCAGAGTCTCTCAGTGGGACAGTAAAATACGGGTACCAAAAGGTGGACAGCGTGGCACTTAAGCAGAAGCTCCAAGAGATCGCAAACTTTTTCAAAACCACGGTGACCGTCACGAGTGGAAGGCGCAGTGGATTTGACCCCTATGTAAGAAACATTATTTGGACATTGGAATCGTTTGTGTCTACATTAATACAACAACAGAAACTTATTCATATGAAATATACTAGTATATATACAATTTACATGATGGCCTTGCCCTTAATGTAATCAATTTCGAACCAATGTCTTCCATAAAGTCATAATTAGCATTATAGCCACGGCATTTCAGCAATAATGTTGAAGTAGATGTCAGGAAACAAGTGGCGGTCGATAACAATTCTTAAAATTATTCATAATATTTATTGGCACCAAAGCCATAGGCCTACTCCAGACCCAGTTAATATTATTATTATTATTATTATTATTATTATTATTATTATTATTTCAGCATAGGATAGGTCAAGCAGCAGACATCTTGGTGAAGGGAGTTGGAACTAAAAAGGCATGGGATCGCCTCAGAACAAGTGGCATTCTGGACAAGGAGTATTACGTCATGTACCACGCACCGGGGTCAAGGTCGTGCTCTACAGGCACGCACGTTCACATAGCCCGTTACAACAAGGAATGGAATTCTGGCAAAAATACGTGCTGGATAATTGAGGGCACGACCCGTTCCAACACATGCCTGTCGTATAAAAAGCACAAATGTCTGTGAGAAGGTGCTTGACCAGTTCCATTCACGTAAAAGAGGGACCTCCTCCCCTTGCTAATTTTGCCACATTTCATCATTTCACATTGCTTTGATGTACATTTAGAAAAAATGCATCGGGAATAAAATAATGTGAACTGTATACTTGCTATTTTGTGCGTTCTTTTTTGTGAACAGCTCTATAAAATGTTGACCAGCGATTGCGATTAACTTTACTCTAAACTTTATCCACAAATCTCCATATTAAACGGCCTTGAACATGCCTGTCTCTACCAAGAATACGTTCTGGGAAATCTATGCGATTCGTCTGTCAGTTATTTACCTTCTCGACCACCGTTCAATTAAGGGCTATACATCATACAGTCCAGTGGTTTTAACAAGAATTTAACTTTTCACTTTATCAACAGATATATAAATGAAAAGAATATTTGAAGAAATATGAAAATCAATAAATTAATGAATAGACAAATCGAAGTAAAGGCGAATTAACTACCCCAGTGAATAAGAAATTGATATGCACCAAAATCTGGATTTATGTCTGCTAAAATATACTCTTCATGCGCATTTACACATAATTCTCCTATTTCAACTATGTTTTATCTTTGAATAAATATATAGTTGCTTTAACTATTGCTTTCAACATTAGTAGAAGTCAGATCATTGCATTAAATTGCCTAATAAGATATTTGGTCAGTATGGCATGCATTTGAAATTTATTTGAAAAAAATGATCATAGTCTTTAGAAATGTGGCCAATAGTTTGAGTAGCAGCCCCGTATACACCATATACACCAGAGAATAGAAATAAATGAGGAATAATAATAATAATAATAATAATAATAATAATAATAATAATACGAATCTATCCAGCTCATAGATATTTTTTCTGGATCTTTTTTTTCTGTGTGTCAGTTGCTTCCTGCAGCTAAGACATACAGCACCTGTCTCAATATGTGTTCTGTTCCAAGTATGACCGACACGCACGCTCGTGTCTCGACAATGAACGTCGATTGTGCAACGAGTGCAACAATTTTCAAATTTTGATCAATTCACCCTTTAATATGCCTCCAAAATTGCAACAGAAAGAACCTTAGATAGCAGAAAAGAAGGGAAGAGGAAGAAGAAAGACGAGGAAAACAGGAGGCAAAACTGACGTTCGCCGTCAGTACGTCATCATAAGCGTGTGAGGCAAGTGCGAAGCAAAAGTGACGCAAAAGGGAACTACTTTCGCCGTGCGTCGCATTCTCTTCATAATTGGGGAGTGCGTGCAAGGTACGCAGGTATCAAAACAAACTCAAGAAATGAGTACAGCTTCCACCACCACCACACCTTGCAATAAGCGTCCCTGCTTCAAAGGACATCTCACGTGACCCCTACGACTCGCAAGGCAGACTTGCGCCTTTCCATTGAAATTTTCTTCTTCTTCTACAAACTCCACGGCCTCCACTGCACTCAAAATTTGTAGGGGGCGTACGCTCCTTAAATCCGTGCGTCTGGTTGTGACCGAGGCTTAATCTAGGCTTAAGCAAGTACACGTACACTTGGCTGAAGGGCGGGTAAGGAAGGGGGGAGGGGTGGTGGTGGTTGGTGGATGTAGGGGGGGGGGGAGGTCGAGTCAGCTGAACCAAGACCTCCAACGCAATTCCCCTACGGATATTCTTGTCAATAGCACAAGTGTTTGGGGGGGGGGGGGG